CTCTGGCGTGGTGAACATGGCGGCCGGATGCGACCCCCCGCGGAGCGCAGGCCGAGGGCGCCCGAGTGCAGTGCGCTTCCCACCCCTTGTTCCGCCTTGGCCCTGGGCGCCTCGCGGGGGAATGTAGGTCGGAGCGGCGGAGCGCAAAACCGTTAAACCGCGGAAGCACAGAAGTTCTTCCCGGGGCTTCCGCGCGGGGCTGGGGGCTCCCGGGGGACTTGGGCATCACGCCCACCAGAGGCCGCCCCGCTCCCGGCCAGGCTCAGAACCTTTCCCGAGGTTGGGGGGCCATTTTGATATCTCGTGCCCAGATCAGGATCCCCCTCGCCTTCGAGTCCCAAAAGGTGTCCCGGGGCCGGTGAGGAGGGGCGCACTTAGCCACCGTTTCCACATAAAGTGCCCGCCTTGTCACTACAGCTGTGCCGGAGTGAGGAAGAACCCGGCACGGGACTCAGGGCAGGGTTCCTGCATATCTCATTTAACGGGAGCCTGTGAAAATTGGCACCAGTGAGCCTTTTGTGTGTGCCCTAACGGCTGGTGGTCTTACATTAAGGACAACGAGAAAAAAGGGAACCGTCAGGAAAACTTGCATTCAGTTTCCGCTTCACGGCCTCCAGGCTGGCGTGCGGAAGAACCCTGGTGGCACTCCGAGAACAGGCTCGGGTTTTCTCCGCACAAGAGTGTGCTGGCGAGTCACCTTCACATGTGTGTGGCGAGGGGCAAAACAAAACAGAGAAAAAGTGGGACAAAAATGGAAGAGTGGCGTTTGGGACCCCAGCTCCTCTAGGAAAATAGATGGCACGAAGAGATTCACATTGTGCTCGTGGAGGCCAACAGCCAAACGTAAAGGCAGCCCTCTTGGGGCTGTCCGGGGTCAGGCATTTGGGGTCCTGAAGGTTGCGGGGCAGCTCCCTTGGGCCACCTTGGGGAGGACCCCAGGTGGGTGGGCAGCTCATTAGCATGGCTGACCCAGATCTGGGGTGGGGTGGGGGCATCTGCAAAACAGTGCCTTTTTCTGAAGAGAACAATGGGGGTTGTCTTTCTTCCTTTACAGTGCACAAAGAAGATGGCTTTGGAGCAAGAATTTGGAATATGCATTTAAGTTGTAGTGCTTTGCATTGGAAACCCTGACAATTGAAATAAGCCAGCCCTATAGTACCTTAAGTCCTTTTCTTATGTGTGATTCTTGCAAGTCAAAGGGGATGGAGTCTCTTCGAGCCTTCCTCGGAAACCTGTTTTGAAATTGCCACCAAACAATTTTGTTTCCTTTCCTGTGGGTGAAGTTTCCTTCCCGGGCTCGGCCATCCCCCCCCCCAATCCCCTCACTGGAAAGTATATTGACATCTTTGAAAGATCAAAGGAAGTATTTAGGGCTTGCTGGATACTTTATTTTTGCCTGTCTTAGTTTGAACCCTGAAGTTTGAACATTTTGAATGTGGTTCTTGGTACCAAAAGTGTGGAAAATGAAAATTCATTAATTTTTACAAAGCATGAGCCAATGGCTAGGCAATGAGGAGTCGGTCTCTTTTAAGAGCTACAGAGCACAGATTGTCTGTTAGTTGACTTCAAAACCAAGCTAAAGAAGCAGTGGTGAACTGTCTCCCCTGGAAGCCTTCAGAGCTCTCTGGGTCACTTGATACGTTAAAACTCTGGTTGATTTTCCTGGGAGTTCTGTGAATGGAATTTCTGCAAAACTGGGCAAGTGATAAATTGGTAGAATTCTATTTGTTTGAATGCCTGCTCGGAAGGGCACTGCCTTCCCCACTGAGGTTTGGTTTCTATCATAACTACTGAAATTTACAGTTTGGAAAACAAGTTTGCAGGAAGCATTTAAAGGGTGCAGGGGTCAGAGGATTTGAACTAATGGTAACTTTTAACACCTGATCCAAACTGCTCTGAATAACATTAGAGGAACTCCCATTTCAAGAAATCGGTTCCAAGTAAAGAAATTCTATTCCTCTAAAAGAGTCTAACCAACCAACCACTTTTCTCTATTTTGAATCTGATGAAAATTCACCCTGTTTACTAATTGGATGAGTAGAGAGAAAGACAAATTTTCCAGTAACTGTAAAAACAGCCTTCACCAGATAGCATGCTTAAAATGTTTCATCTCTGCTAGGGTGCATATGTCGTGTCATGTGTTTTATTACAAAATACAACCAACGTAGAGGCTATTTGAATTTCAGGCGTTAAAAAAGAAAAGATTTCATTGATTTTATTGTCCACTAGCATTGAAAACAACATATCCCAGTAGCATTTTATGAAACTTTTCTAAGAGTAGTTGTGGCCTATGTTGACCTATCTGCAGTTTACTTTTTGTTTTTTTACCAGTGTTGTCCTGCTTGGTATCCGGGACAGTCTCTAATTCCTGACGAAGAACTTGATACTGACGTTGGTCTGCAGCAGCCAGCCCTCCATAACACTACCTATCCTAAATGCAGGGTTAATGCCGAACCTACTGTGCAAGAAATGATTTACTGATGAGGTTTCAAAGAAAACCACATCAATTTGGATGTCTGTTACCTTGAAGTGATCATTTTAAGAGTAGTAGCTTCTTCCCTAGGTATAAAAAAAGACTATTTTCTTCTTGCGGTGTATTTCATTCTGTGTTGAGCAATCATTTGTGAAATGAAAAAGCAGAAAAGCTATCCCCCACCCCCAATTTCGGATTGATAAATGGGAAGATGGAGGTAAAGACT